TATTTGAATTGTCAGAGCTACAGAATGAACAAACCAACAAGAATTGCAGTAACATACAGTGTGATGTCACATATAGAACTCACAAATAGAGGCCAGCATTCTGTGGCTTCCGGTTTCTACGGTAACCAATTCCATTGTGTCCCACTGGCCCATGTCACCACGTTTAAATCATTAAATTCTCAGTTTTTACTTGGTATTCTACTTTTGACATAAAATAAAGTAATTTATTTTAATAATAGGTATTTATATAAACACTTATAATACATATATATATAAATTTATATAAATACTTATAATAAAAATGTCTTCAACAAAAACAGTGAACTCAACTAATCAGAGAAATAAGCTGAGGTGTTGTGGACTGTTTAAAGCTAGCTCATTCTTGATTGAGATCAAATGGATAAAATGTGAAAGGTCAAGTATAAAATGTTTTATATTCGTTGTGAAATATTTGTATGAAATTCCATTCATTTCCATTTAATACTAATATGTGTTGTTAAGGAATAAATTTAGACAAATTTAAAATTGATTTTCTTGATTAAATATAGCAGAATATTTCTGGTGACAACCAGATATTTAAACAGATCTCATTATAAATTTGAAAAGTTGGTTCTTTTTTAAAAATGCATAAACTAACAGATCTATAATAACCATACCTCAATGATTTCTTATTGATTTAAAAACAATTATCATCTGGTTATTAAGGATATAACGATTCACTGGACTCACAATTCGATAAGATTCACCATACTAATCTCACAATTCATGATTCAGTCACGATTTTTAAGCAAAATTATTTAAAACAAATTGAAGGTGAAGAGTGCTTTCATTTCTTTCTTAAATGCAGCACTTTTTTGCTAAATATAAAATATTTTCTGCCATAACTTAATTGCTATTTTATAAACAAAACAAGAATAATACAAACTAAATACTAGGGGTGTAACGATACACTCAGCTCACGATACAATGTGTATCACGATATAATGTTCACGATTCGATATGTATCACGATATTTGGAATAAAAATTGAAAATTAAACTGAAATTCAAAATTTTTTTTAAAATTTTTTTAATTACCAAGTAAACTATTTTTTATGTATTTCTTTTGTTTCAACTTGTTAAACTGAACCTTCTTTAAGAAAATAAATTAAACAGGACTGTCTCTGGAAAATCAAACAATTTAAAAACTTCTTATAAAATATTATTGAAATTATTCAATTCAATTGAATTAAACAGTAAGAGCTCAAGGCTTTGTTTGGTCACTTGCATTTTTTGTGTGTGCAATCTACATTTCCAGGTAATCAGCAGTTCTATAAAATAATTCTGAACTGATGTGTATCTGTCTGAGAGGTTTTTATGTATGGCTGTCTTCATGTTGGGCAAGATGAGTGACAGGGTGGCCGTCTTTTCATTACACAGGACAGTCGTGGCTCTTCTCAGCAGTTTAGGCAGGTTTACTATTTCTTCGGCGTCGCTGATGTCGGCGCTATCAAGTATATCATGTTGACGTGCATTTTTGTGTACCTCTGAACTCAAAAGAGTTCATGCTCGTAATCATAACTCTAAAATGCGAGATGATTATTTAAATAATGTGCACGCTTTCGGTTTCATTTCCACTGCTGTTCATACTTCCCAAGCGGCTCCTGAACGATCACTCTGTTCCACAAACTGAATGTTGTTTACTACTTTATTACCTGTTAGTCACAACCTGCAGGTTCTGTTCACTGAAGCAGACACGCGCGCGTCTATCATAGTCCGCCCTCTGTAGTAACACCTCACGGTCAGCTCACGTCATGTGTGATTTTGCGGCTACCAATACATCATTATATGAAGACAGAATGATATTTTAGGGTGAATTGTACCTTATAAATACAGTAAAGGAGGGGGAAAAACTAATCTAATACCTGCTTCTGTCAAAGAACAACTCTCTGTTTTAGTCTGAAAAAGATCTTTGCACTTTCGATATAAAAACACTGCATAAGCTAACATGGACACTAATAATTTGATTTTTATGCGATTAAGACAATACTCTGATTAAGAGTCTACAATGTAAACAGCGATTTTTGATTAATTTAATCCAATTAAGGTCATAATCGAACTAAAGAGAAACCGAATTAAGACGCCGATTTTAGTTGCAACCGTCATGTAGAACTTTTCACCGCGTTTTGAAACACACACACACACACACACACACACACGTTCCAGAATGAAAGTGAAAGTGTCAAATTGCTGTTAAAATTGACAAAATAAAAAATGAAACACCCAAAATTACACAAAACTCAAGGAAATGCGGATAGCATGGTGACGCAATGATGTTAATCGAATGATTTGTTATAACATGTTAGAAAAGGATCATGAAAGGATCATTCAAAAAGCAACTCATGTAAACATCTTAATCTTATTATTGTCTTAATTAGATTAAGGCAAATAATTTGATTACTGATGTCCATGTAAACAGTCACTGATTTACCCTCTGATCTCCATAGCAATTGCTAAGGCAAGTGGAACCACGTGGTTTGGTTTATTAGTTGGTTAATAGTTTTTTGGTAATAGACGTCTGTGACAGTAGTTTTTCATTGTGCTGATGGTTTATGTGCATCATTTTTGTCAAAATAGATGTGTTTTTGCAGTATTTGCACACTCTTTGTGTTTTGTCTGGCGCACATCACCGCTGTCATTTTACTCTGTCGCCCACCTCTTGCTCGACGTTGATGTGCAGGTGAAGTGAGCTTGCACCAGTAAACAGCATCCCCTCTGTTCAAAACATGTATCACGATTCATTCAACATTTTACCCACATTTGTATCGTCACATATTTGAATCGATTTTCAACTGGCTAACGGTGAATCATTAAATCCCTATTAGTTATTATTTTTTGTGGTATCATGTGCTTCACCTGGTATAGTTGTGCTTTCTCCGAGACTCTGGATCTTGCGGTCTAGGATGCGGCGTCCTCTGCTGAGGGTTTTAAGGAACTGTGCCTCTTCCTCATTGATGATATCCTTTACCATATCAGGATCTTTCCGCAGCTCTGGAAAAGCATCACCCTGAAAAGAGCAATAAACTATTAAATGGACATAAGAGAGTAAGTATTAAAAAACTATATTAAAATAAGGCAAATGCCTTGATTAACCATTACTAATAATGTACATCTATTTTGTAGCCAGTTTAGACTAGTCATTTCATCCTCTTCGTAGTAAAGATTTTCTGAGTTGTTTGGATTAAAAAATTAATTATGGAATGTTTCACTCACTCTCGCGACTGTGCAGGTGCACTCAACTGCAAAGCCAAGTGAAAGTAGGCTTCAGTAAAAAGATAATGCAAAAACGCATATGATTAACAACAGCTTTAGAAAGCAAAAGCCAAATCCATTTTAGGAAATTTAGAAACCTGGCCGGATGAAATGCCAAAAAAGTAGCATCTCTGTGTGTCTGCAGAGCATGTGAGACTGTGTGAATACTAACAAGTTTCGTGCAGACTGAACGAAAGAGAGAAACAAGAGAGATTTTTCCTATACTTAATCGATCACAGATACAATATAGTGTAAAAGAATAATAGAAATAGTAAAAAATAATAATAATAAATAAAAATAAACAAAAAAGGTGTCACTAAATATAGTTGGGCGGTGGTTAATATACCTGGTGGCCCGCCCAAATAAAGTCAATAGCCCCTTTCACACATACAGACCTTTCCGGAAAATTGCCGGCAATTTTCCGGAACGGTTGTATGTGTGAACAGGTCCTTTTTGAAAATACCGGTAAATTCGTTCTGGCTATTTTCCGGAAAGAGAATTTGCCGGAATGCTGCGCGGTGTAAATGCAGAAGGAAGATTCCCGTAAGAAGCGCGTGCACGTCTAGAACGTGCTGACGTGAGACGTCTGCTTTAGCCAATCACAACAGTCAGACGCATTTACGTCCGCGCGGTTTGTGAGGATAAAAGCCTTTGAATATTTTTCCTGACACATTTAGCTGCTAGAAGTTAGTTAGATCACGTTTACATGTTCTTCTTAATGCCAACTGTGTAAATAATCATCGATGAGATGCTTATGATAAGCCGTTGTTTGTTTACCTTCAAGCTTTGCGTGCGCATATGAGCGCCTGCACATCTCGACATGCGAAAGTGATCCTGCGAAAGTTGTTCACAATATTGATCATCCACAGAGTTTGTAATTTAGTCAAATGTTTACAAATACAAGCGCAGCCGTTTAAAGCTCATTTGTGGTGAATGATGTCAGAACTTACCGGTATTTTGGAATGGATGTGTGAATGCTCTTTTCCGGAAAAATTCCGTAACGTCCTTGCCTGTGTGAACAGCGCTTTTTTGAATATACCGGTAAAGTCGTTCCGGAAATTTTCCGGATATTTACCGGTATCACTGTGTGAAAGGGGCTAGTGACTGTTCAAGTCATTTAAAGAATGACTGTTTTAAATAACGGTTTACACTACACAGCATTGTTGGTTTACAAAAAAACAAAAACAAACATAGTCCTGTTGTACTACCACATTTGATTTAGGTTTTATTGTATATATATATATATATATATTAAAAAAATATTAAATAAATTTAAAAATAAATTAATATTTTTCAGATTTTCATAGTATATTTATTAATTCCAGTACTTTTATCATAAACTGATTTATCAACCATTTGGTAGAGGTTGCTATTTTAAAAACTATGGGATGTGCTGAAAAAAATGCATTGAGTTTGTTAACTAGCGACTTATGGAGTTAAGAAATGTAATTCAGAAATGTTTTTCTTGGTGGGGCAGGTAAAGGGATAAAAGCCAATGCCAATAATCCACACGGTAGTGGTATTCTGTGCATTTCTATGGATGAATAAAAATATCTCTTATACAAGACAATAACCAACATAATATCTCTTAGTTTTCTGTGCATCCCTATGAACAATACATTATATAAGTAGCAGTAAAGCTATTATCTATTTGTATTTTATTGCTTTTTACCTTTGCTAGCTGTACAGTAGCAAAGAGCTTTAAGTTTACCTGTTGAATTGGATGAACACCAAATTCCAGATTTCAAGCTTATTTGGGTCATCCATGTTGACCAGGTGTGCAGCATCTCTGCCTCCAATGCGATCATAGTGGATCTCACTGCACGGCCCACATGGACCAGTGTCCCCCATCTCCCAGAAGTTATCCTTCATGCTGCCAGGCAGAATACGGCTCTCCTCCATTCTGATACAGAAAGAATATAAACAAATTTACATCAATTCTACAACTTGTATTATAATTAAAATTGGTCATTTTAACCCATATAGATAATCTAATCACAGTCATATCACCCTGCAGCCCAAGACCGGTTACTCACTGAATTCTAAGCAGGACTGAGTCTGGTCAGTACCTGGATAGGAGACCACATGGGAAAACTAGGTTGCTGTTGGAAGTGGTGTAAGTGAGGCTAGCAGGGGGCGCTCAAAGTGCAGTCAATAGCCCCTTTCACACAGTGATACTGTAAATATCTGAAAAATTAACGGAACGACTTTACCAGACTTTACCACGACTTTACCTGTGCTGTTCACACAGGCGAGGACGTTACGGAATTTTTCCAGAAAAGATCATTGACACATCCATTCCAAAATACCAGTAAATTCTGACATCATTAACCAGAAATGAGCTCTAAACAGCTGCGCTTGTATTTGTAAACGTTTGACTACATTACAAACTATAAAACTATATATAATATAGTTAACTATAAACTATAAAAAACACAGATGACAATAAAAAAGTGATAATCTCTTCTTCTAGGAAACAATAACATTTATCTTTAATATTGCAATTTACGGTGAAATTCTGCCTTCCTTTTACATTCACAAACTGAAAGTAATATCCAAAAAAGCAAATAGATAATTCACAAAAATATTATTAATTAGGTCACACTTAACTTACTCTAAACCCTTTATGAATTCCTTTATGATGTTAAACGCAAAAGCAGATATTTTGAAAAAATGTTCAAAACAAGTTAATAAGCTACCAGTTTCCAACAATCTTTAAAATTATTTTGTGTTCTACAGTTTAAACTATCAAAATAATGATAACATTTACATGTAATATTCTTCAACCAATTAGGCACATACATTCACTTTTTTTTGCTAAACTTTCATATATATATATATATATATATATACATATATATATATATATATATATATATATATATATATATATATATATATATATATGTAACCCATGCGCTCTCTGCGTGCTCGCTGGCCTCTAGCACCACCGCTGCTACTCTGCGTTGTGTTGTATGTGTTGTGGGGTGGTAAACTGGAGATGCAGGCAAAGAGAGGTTCGCGATCGTGACTCGACCATTTATTTGTCAGAAGGGCACCTATCAGTGTTGATAACACAAACTCAGTCAAATATCAACACAAAACATTCATTATTATTAACTACTGCAACACAATGGCTTTGCATGAGCCGCACACTCCCTCAATCACTCTATCACAAAAAATAAAAAATAAAACAACCTTTTAACTCCCTATACAACTCTCCATTTGCTCCTTACAATTTAGTACACAGAATATCTCAGTAAAAAGAACTCTTGAGCATTAATAACAAAGATGCATTTTAAATAAGGATCCTGCTATCATGAACACGTCTTACCTATCAGTGTTGATAACACAAACTGAGGAAATTACGGCGCACTGCGCACATATTCAACACTACGGTGTGCCAAGAGGCTCAAACAACATAAGAAACGTTCAAATACCTAAATAAAACAGTGTCACAGCGACATCTTGTGGACAAAACAAACACTGCGCTACATCCACCCCTTCCTTAATTGATGGCGTCCCAGCCATCAGATTACCCAAAAACTTAAAAGTGGTATGCTCTTGGGCAATTAAAACAATAAATGTGTTTTGATTGAATGTGTATAGATGGTGTATGTGGGGTAGCTAACTGTTATCAGTGTGTATGCAGTATGGCTCTGTGAGTGTCCTGCTCCTCTTATTTTTAAGCTTTAGCCACAACTTCCTCCCTCTTTCTATCTTCTTTTGATCACTCTCCATATTCACAACTTGTGATTCCAGTAAGAGTTTAAGTGGAGGGCGTCGATTTCTTTGGGGGTTTCTCCTTGGAGAGTTGGGCCCTTGTGTGGAGGTGGCACCACTGTCCATTGCACGCACTTCCTCTCTGTCACTCATTTCTGCTGTACATGTGTCTGCCTCCTGTGTGTTCATTGGTTCCCCTTGCTCATTGGCTGTTTCAATACAGGTTCCTTCCAGAGTCTCATCTGAACCATTACTTTCCATATCCTCTTCGGCTTCCAGTTCAATGCCTGCCTCGCTTATCTCTCCAACTGATTCTTTCCCTTCCATGATCACTTGTTCGTCTTGCTCCACAGGAAGAAACATACACTGGGTCAAAAGGTTTCTATGAACCACTCTCTCTGCTCCTCCATCCTCTGGTCGCACCACGTACACAGGCAAATTTGGTTGCTTCCTGACCACAACATAAGGCCGCGCCTCCCATCGATCTCCCAACTTCTGTCTTCCCTCCACATGACAGACTTTGACTAAGACTCTATCACCAGGACTCAGGTCCTCGCTCTTAGCTCTTTTGTCATAATATTTTTTCTGTTGTCCTTTTGCCAGCTGAGATGTCTTATTAGCCAGGGCATAGGCCTGCTTCAGGGAGTCATACAGAGTCTGAACATACTCGCTGTATTCACATGGCTGGTTTGTCGTGGGGGAACCAAAAATGAGGTCCACTGGGAGCCTCGGATGCCTGCCAAACATTAGGTAGTATGGGCTATAGCCAGTGGAGTCATGCTGTGAGCAGTTATATGCATGTGTCATGGCATCAATGTGCTCATGCCATCGGGACTTCAAGTGAGGCTCTAGGGTTCCTAACATGTTCATCAGAGTACGGTTAAATCTCTCAGTGGTCCCATTTCCCTGGGGGTGGTAGGGCGTGGTGTGAGTTTTAGTGATGCCCGTACACTTGCATAACTCCTTCACAATTGCACTTTCAAAATTACGGCCTTGATCAGCATGTAATCTTGCAGGGAACCCAAATCGGCAGAAGAAATTCCTCCACAAGGTTCTGGCTACTGTGCTTGCCTTTTGGTCCCTAGTGGGGTAGGCTTGTGCGTAACGGGAAAAGTGATCCGTAACTATAAGCACATTCTCTATACCACCCTTGGACTTCTCCAGCATCAAGAAGTCCACACAGACCAGGTCCATTGGGGCACTGGTATGAATACTGACAAGGGGTGCCCTGACATTGGCTGTGGGAGTTTTCCTTAGGCAGCACCTCTCACACTGTTCACACCAAGCCTTAATTTCCTGGAACATTCTTGGCCAGTAAAATCGTTCTCTTATCATCTGTAGTGTCCTCTCAAATCCCAGATGCCCTGCGTCATTGTGAAGGGCTATTTTAATGGTTTCTCGCAGCTTTTCAGGCAGTATTAGTTGTTCAATCACCCCTTTGTGGCAGTCTCTGATACTGCGGTACAGGATTCCTTTTTTTACCACCAGCCTCTTCCACTCTTTTAAAAGAAGACCCCCAGTAGCTCCCACTTCTATCCTCTCACTGTGACTTGGTTTGTGGTTCCTACTCTTGAAGTGGAGGACAGGACCGATAACCCCATCTTCCCTCTGCATCGCTCGGAGCTCCATTATAGTCATAGCAGGCAGTGCCTCCATCCCCACATCCATATACACCTCCCTAGTCTCCTGACAGCTTTCCGTTTCCTCTATAAGAACTGTGTCCTCTCCTACGACCCCCTCAATCTTCTGGGTGGTATGTGCCTCCTCAGGACTTGGTTCACTTATCCTCAACTGCTGTGGGCAGGACTGCAGTGTTTCCACCACCTCTTGATTTGACATTCGCGAGAGGGCATCAGCATTTGAATTATCCTGTCCCCTCCGATACTGAATGTCAAAATCAAATATGGATAGATGAGAGACCCATCTCTGACCGGTGGCGTCCAGTTTGGCTGAGGTCATTACATATTTCAGAGGGTTATTGTCTGTCAGAACAGAGAACTTGCGTCCATAGAGGTGGTCATGAAACTTCTCTGTAACTGCCCACTTGAGAGCAAGAAACTCAAGCTTGTGTGCCGGATACCTTGTCTCAGGTGGGCTCAAGCCTCTGCTCGCATATGCAATTACCCTTTCTGCCCCATTTTGGACCTGCACCAGAACTGCGCCAAGCCCTGTTCCTGAGGCGTCAGTCTGCAGCAGAAAGGGCTGACTGTAATCTGGATAGCCTAGCACTGGAGCACTTATCAGCTTTTCTTTTAAAGACTGAAAAGCCTCCTCACATTCAGCAGTCCAAAGAAATGGCTGGTGTGGGCCAGGATTTTTCTGCTTTCCTCTTTTCTTTCTTTTAGGGTCGCCGGAGGTAAGGCGGTATAAAGGAGAAACTAAGTTAGAGTAGCCCTTAACATACCTCCTATAGTAGCCTGTGAATCCCAAAAACTGCAACACTTCTACACAGTTAGTCGGCCTTTGCCAATCCTTGACCTTATTGATCTTCTCTGGGTCTGTCCTGATGCCCTCTGCTGACACCAAGTGACCCAAGTACTGCACTTCCTTCCTCACAAGCTGGCACTTAGATGGTTTAAGCTTTAAACCATGTTCTCGAAGCCTATCGAAAACCATCTGGAGCCTTTCCAAGTGTTCTTTAAAAGACTTAGAGAAAATTATGATGTCGTCAAGATAAATAAGGAGGTGGGTGAAATTTAAATCGCCAAAACAGGAGGTCATCAGTCTTTGAAATGTGGAGGGTGCATTTTGCAACCCAAAAGGCATCCTATTGGCTTCAAACAGACCCATAGGAGTGCTGAATGCCGTCTTGGGCTTATCTTGTTCCGCCACCTCCACCTGCCAATATCCTGAGGTAAGGTCGAGGGTCGAGAAATACTTTGCCTGTCCTAAAGCCTCTAGAGCCTCCTCTATCCTAGGCAAAGGGAATGCATCTCGTGTGCTGCAGGAGTTTAGTTTCCTGTAGTCAATACACAATCGCAGTGACCCATCTTTCTTTGTCACAACCACCACAGGTGATGCATAAGGACTTTTACTGGGGCGAATAACTCCTGCTGTCTCCATATCCATCAATAACCGCCTTACATCTTGCCACTGGGAGGGGGGTATTTTGCGGTATGGCATTCGGAACGGCCTTGGGTCAACCAAGGGAATCTCATGCTGTACTGTTGTGGTGTGACCATAGTCCAGAGGATGTTGGG